CGGTTGAAGTGATCCACTACACTGAGAAGCACCAGGGGGTGGACGACCACCTTCTGCACCGCCAGCTCCGGCATTGTGATACTCCCCGATTGCCAGGCCTGGCTCTGCGCGACCCGCGAACACCCGTAGCTGCTCCCGCGGCTCCTCCAGGCCTGGCTCCCGATTTGATTTCTTGACTACTGCTTTTCACAGGTGTTGGTTGATTGTGGATCCAAGTAAAATGAAATTCTTGGTAATGTCAATATTTTCCCCATTTATCATGATATTACTCAGTTGTGAGGATTTTTGTTGAAGAGTCAAAGAGTAATCCATACTGGGAATTCCGGTGGCTAATCATAGGTGTGTCAAACACCATAAATCTTACCCATCGTGGACAGTGTTTGGTGGAACTCCCAGATTGATTCAGGTTTGGAAGCAGGAGTGGCATCCACTTTCTAAACTACATGCTTCTGGAAACTCTGTGAACATAGAGAAATGGTGATAGTTATAGAATAGGTAGGGTTCAGGTCTTTTGTTCATAAGGTCGCTATGCGTCATGCTTGACTCAGTGGCACTTAATGACAACCTCTATCTAAGGAGTTTTGCTGTCAACCCTAAAGCACACCTTTGGGGGGAAAGGAGCAGTCTCTTCTGGTGCAATTTACAGCCTCCTGGAGGGTTCAGCTATGAATCTATTCCAGCCCCACAGCAAAGAGTTGAGTTCAAGTTGATTTGTGTTGTGGTGTAGGCAAATGGTACTGAATATACCATGAACGGATGAAATAACAAACAAATGTGTCTTGGAAGTAGTGCAACCAAATTGATCCCTAGAGGTGAGAATGGCGACACTTCATGTCACGTGTTGTTTTTGTTATATGCTGTCAAGTCGCTTGTGATTCATAGTGAGACCTGCTCTATCCTGTGCCAAATTGACTGTCTCCACATATCTACCCTCATTACCCCAGTCACTGTATCAATCCATCTCATCGATGGTCTCTTTATCTCTTTTTCGGTCCCTCCACCTTTCCAAGCATGATATCCTTCTCCAAGGACTGGTCCCTCCTTGCAACATGCCCAAAGTAGGAAGTCTCAGAATCCTTGCCTCCAAGGAGCAGCCTGGTCTCACCCTCTCCAGGACAAACCTGTTTGTTCTCCTGGCAGTCCATGGTATTTTCAATACTCTTCTCCAGCACCACAACTCAAAGGCATTAATTCTGCTTCTGCCATCTCTAGTCATTGTCCAGCTCTCTGATGTATAACAATCTTTGGGTATATTGTCAGGAGGGACCAGACCCTGGAGAAGAGCATCATACTTGGCAAAGTCGTACAGGAGAAGAAAACCCTCAATGTGATGCAGTGACATATTTACTGGGTGCAGCAGGGATGGCGAGGATGTTACAGATTGGGAAGGGTTTACTTCTGTTGTCTGTGGGGTTGCTACGCACCGAGCCAAAGTGACTACACCTAACATTCACAGGGAGCTCTGGTCGTTTTGTGGTAAGAAGTTGTGCTGCTCAACTGAAGGTACATGGTTTGAATTTGTTCCATGGGAGAAAGATGGGCAGTCTCCTCCTGTGTGAATAATTGCTTCTGAAAACCTGCTGTAGGGTTTGCTGTAGATTGAACCCAGTTCCACGGTACACATTTGCACACAAATCAAGTGCCTCTGATTTTAGACTCTCATATGAGAAGACGTACAAGGAGGGGTTTCTGTGATCCAGCAAAAGGTGAGAAACAAATGACTCGTAAGTTAATGGCACTGGCCTCTGTGTTGATGTCTTTCTGGTCTAAGAAGACTGTGCCTAGGCAAGTTCTTTAGTGTTTTGTGCAAATATGACTTTTTCTCTGCCTGAAAAGGCCGGGGACCATCCCCACATTTCTGGCAATGGTCAGCAGCTCTGGCAGTTTGCATGCTCAGAGAAGGGATGGAGGATTTAACATGGTGTGTGGACCGATCCGAGCTCAAAATGCAGTCGGACTTGAGCGGCAGGCGAAATAATTTGCTCCTAGGCCGTAAAGCAGGGACCTTGTGGGAGGGCGAGGAAGACCCCCTAGACCTGAACGGCATATTGGTAACTAGAAAGGTGGAATTCTGCCGTGGAAGTGGAAGAGGGAAGTGTTTACAGTGGACCAGAGAAGGGTCTACCCTGGTGGAAGTTAGGGGGTAGCTCGTTAGTACGCACTCAGGAAGCTACGGAAGGGAGGGAGACCTAGGTGAAGTGGGGGGCTGCTTCGGGCCATGGAAGGAGGAGGTCTCTGCCTTTGCACAGCACCAGCAGCCTCCTGAGAGGTTTGCACCTCGGCCCTGGAGACCAGCTGGGGACCCCCTCGCACCCAGAAATCTCCTGCTTCTCTGCACACAGGTCTGAGCATGGGGACCCCAAAACCGCGGATTCTGCCCTGGCTCATTTCACAGTTGGACCAGGGACACATAGAGGGCGTGGCGTGGCTGGATGCGCAACACTTACGCTTCCGCATCCCTTGGAAGCATCATCTACGACAGGATGCGAAACAGGAAGACTTCAGGATCTTCCAGGTACCTGGGGCTGGACACTAGAATGTCTAGGGGCGCTTCAGGTGCCAAGAATTTCAAGGGAGCAGGGTCAGAGGGGCAGGTGAGTACGTTTGGGGCGGTCCCTGTGCTTACTTGAGGGCTGGCATGGGCTTGGTTAGAAGGGAGAGGCGGGGTGAGCTCCTGAATGGGGCCCGGGAGTGGAAGTAAGGGAGCAGCGGGCGGAGCTAGACGGAAAGGCGAGCTTTTGTAATTGGCTGGGCGGGGCTATAAGAAAGGGGCGTGTTTCGTAGCCTGTGGGCGTGTCTTTGTGGCTTGTTAGGGGCGAGGTTCCGTAGCGGGAGGGGAGGGGTTACACCAAGAGGGGCGGGGTTATACCGGGAGGGGAGGAACTAAACAAAGAGGGGCGGGGTTATAGCGGGGGCGGGGCTAAACAAAGAGGGGCGGGGTTGTAGCGGGAGGGGAGGGGCTACAGCAAGAGGGGTGGAGTTGGAAGAACTGGTCCTCTCACTAGGATAAGTGTGAGAAGTTAGAAAATGGGACTAACATGCAAACACCAGGCCTCCCCAAAGGGAGAACTCTCTCTGGTGAAACTGGACGGAGCTGTATCAGTGAAGGACAGGTGGGTGGAAATGGTGGCAGTTGGAACTCCCAGATTCTAAGCATAGGACCCTGAAGATGAGTGGGCAGGAAAGGAAGCTGGAGGTCCTGGGGGAGGGACGGTTCTTGGTCTCAGGCTGCTGGGAGGAGGTTTTGGAGCCTTAACAGCAAGGATGCTTAAAGTCTCAAAACTGGGCAAGTGGCCACGAAAACCACAGTGTGTGTATGGAATTAAGAGCATGAGGAAGGATGTGGGGCTTACATAGAGTGCCCACGGGCAGGTGGTGGGTGAGATTAAAAGCCCATTAGAACCGAGGAAGGGAACTCCGGTGGGCTAGTGCTGAGCTGCACTGCAATCCCAAAGGCACCCAGTTCCTATCCACCAGCTGTTCCACGGGAGAAGGAATGGACAGTCTCCTGTGCGATTTACTGCCTCTGAAAACCCGCCAAAGGGTCAGCTCTGACTTGATGGCACCCGACAGCAACAGAAGAACCTTCTTAGGTTCTTGACTGATTAGAGGGCAAGTTTTTGAAAGCAGGAGGGCAGCTGGAAGGGCACATGAATCGTAAGAGTTTGGGAGGAGAGCTTTGCTGAGGTACGAGTGCTGGGAAGTGCATTGTCAGGTTTCCAGGGGAAGGATCGGAGTCTTCTCCCCAACCCTGCACCCTCTGCTTCCCTGTAGGCCTGGGCTGAGGTCAGTGGGGCCTACAATCCTGAGAAAGATAAACCAGACCCACCTACATGGAAGAGGAACTTCCGGTCAGCTCTGAACCGAAAGGATGTATTGCACGTAGTCCAAGACAACAGCAAGGACCCCGTGGACCCGCACAAAGTCTATGAATTTGTGACTCCAGGTGTGCGCAGGGCGGGCCTTTGCGGGGAAGACTGGGATGTGGGGGAACTGGCACCCTGCACAACTCATTGTCCTTTTTTGACAAGGGATCATGGACTTTCCTGACTGGGACCCTTCTCCAGACCCCAATGACAAAGGCAGTACTTTGGATACTCAGGTAAGAATCCAGCCTTCACTCCATCCCCCCCCACAATGGGCCTGGTCCAGCCTTCCGTATAAGCCAGAAAGGCAGTCTCCTAGGGGAGCTCTGGTGGCCTAGTGGCAAGAAGCTGCACTGCAATCCCAGAAGTACACGGTTCAAGTCCACCAGATGCTCTGCTGGAGAAGGAGGGACAATCTCCTCCTGTACCAGTCAGATCGGATTTGACGGTGTGTGTACACACACACACACACACACACACACACACACACACACACACACTAATAAAATAATAATACAATTTAAAAAAAATAAAAAAAAAGAAAGGCAGTCGCCTCCCATGCGATTTACAGACTGAAAATCTACAGTCGGTTTTGACTTGATGGCGTGTCACCACCCCCACCCCCAGGACAGTCCTAGCTGGGTGCCAGTGACACCGATTCCAGCTCACAGCCACCCCATGTGACAGAGTAGAGCTGTCTGGAGTTCCTAGGCTGTAATGTCTCAGGGGGAGCTCTGGTGACTCAGGGGACTGAGTTTGGGGGTGCTAACAGGTCAGGTTCACGTCGCAGCTTCGGTGCAAACTCACAGCCCTGCTCTGTTCCGCAGGGTCCCTGTGAGTCAGCCACCCCACGGCAGTGGCTTTGAGCTGATCTGTCTTTAGCGGAGCCGATCCCCACACCTGTGTCCCTCAGAGCTCTGAGATGTGTTAACTGACCTTCCGTGCTCCGAGAGGCAGGGTCATGGTCAGGGCTGACACGTGTCTCTTGCTGTCAGTGACTTTCCTGCTCAGACGGGAGCCCCTTGAGGGCCAGGCTTGGTCCGCCTCCCCTCTGTCCCACATCGTGCACAGGGTCAGTCCTGGAAACCTCTGCTGAAATGTCCACTCTGCTTCTCCCCCCAGGAAGACATCCTAGAGGATTTACTGAATGACATGGCCTTAGGTCCCGTCCCAGAGGCAGCACCCTCAGGCCTGGCCATGGCCCCTGAGCAGCCGCCCCCTCCCTTCATGCCGAACCCCGTTGCAGAAGTCTGTGCTGTCGGCCAAAACCCAGCCCCCTTGGCAAATCCACTGAGGCATCTGCTGATCCCTGAGGATGGTGGGTGCCAGCTGGGGCGTGGGAGGGGCTGGAGCGGGGGCCACAGGCCTGCTCACACCCTCTGTCCTCTCTCCGCATCCCCGCCCGCCACCTCTGCTCAGAGTGGGAATTTGAAGTGACTGCCTTCTACCGAGGCCGCCAGGTCTTCCAGCAAGCTGTCTACAGCCGAAGGGGCCTGCAGCTGGTGGGCTCTGAGACGGCAGACGGGACCCTGCCTGGGCCCCGGATCGTGCTGCCTGACCCCGAGGCGATGCTGAGGGACAAGGTGGCAGTGGACTACGTGAGGCGGGTGCTGAGCTCCCTGGGCGGGGGGCTCGCTCTGTGGCGGACAGGGCAGCAACTCTGGGCTCAGAGGCTTGGGCACTGCGCCACGTTCTGGGTCACCGGCGAGGAGCAGCTTCCGAGTGGCACGCACGGCGAGGTCCCCAAGGACAGGGGAGACATCGTGTTCAACCTGGGACCCTTCGTGGCAGGTGAGCGAAAGCTGGGAGCCCAGCTCAAGGGCCCCAGGGGTCTAATGCACTGAGCGCCTGCTGGTGCGAGTTGACTGAAAAGATGGTGGGGGAGCGTCCTTTAACCCCTAACATCCGGAGAATCAGCATCAACAGACCCGGGCTGAGTCCTTGCCCCCACCTTCAGCCCATTCTGCCACCAGCGTCTCTCCCATCACTCATACTTGTACCTGTTGCCATTCAGTCGGAACCCACTCAGCAGAGCCTCCGGTGGTTTTCTGAGGCACTGGAGGGGATTGTTCATTTGAACCCCTAGAGAAGTGCGGCCTTTTGATTAGCCTCCTAGCAACTATCCCAAGATTCTCCACTCCTCTTCTGGACTGGACACAACAAACAGACCATACTCCCTATTATGGGGGTCACTGTTGTTGTTATGTGCTGTCGAGTCCTTTGCGACTCATAGTGACCCTATGTACAACAGCGCTAAACCCTGCTCTGTCCTGTGCCAACCTGTCTCCGACGCACCAGCCTCCTTTAGTCCAATCACTGAATCGATCCATCTCATCGAGGGTCTTCCTCTCCTGCGCTGTCCCTCCACCCTCTCAAGCATGATGTCTCTCTCCAAGGACTGGTCTCTCCTTACAACATGTCCAAAGTATGTCAGACGAAGCTTCAGAATCCTTGCCTCCAAGGAGCAGCCTGGTCTCACCCTCTCCAGGATGAATTTGTTCGTTTCTCTATCAGTCCATGGTATATTCAGCACTCTTCTCCAGCACCACAGCTCAAAGGCATCAATTCTCTATCATCCCTAGTCACTGTCCAGCCCTGTTGCATAGCACACAATTGTGAAGACTATGGCCCAGATCAGGCGCACCTTAGTCTCCAGCCTGACGTTGTTGCTCTTCAGTACTCTGGAGAGGTCCCTGCCAACTAGGGAAGTCAAAACAACTCCTTGCCATCAAGTTGGAAGCGACCTTCCAGTGAATTCTCAGAGGCTGTAAATTGCACCGGAGGAGACAGCCCATCTTTCTCCCTCAGATCAGCAGCTAGTAGATTCAAACTGCCTGCCTTTGCGTTAGCAGGGCAACTCCTTACCCTCTAGGCTACCAGAGCCTTGATGAAGGAGCAGGTTACACAGTCAGAAACAGCTCAGAGTGCAGTCCACCAGGGCAGTCCACTCAGCTGGCCCAAAGGCTGGCCTCTCTCTGGCCCTTGGCTGCCTGCCTGCTCCGAGCAGACTCAGTGTACGTACAGAGGTGCCTGGTCTCCTTCATGGGTATGAGAAACACCCGTCCCTGAAGTCACTGCCCTCCAGCGGAACGTCCCGTGAGGATGGGCGAGCCGTCTGTGTACTGACCACTTACGGATGAGCGACTACAGGCAGAATTTTTTAATTACTTTCGGAATTTGACATCTTAACTAGTTACAAATGAAGTTTTAAATTGGCATAGAGCGTAACGTGTTGGACTGCTGAGAGACGGGGTGTTCGATCCCGCTGGGCTCCACGAGAGGATGGGCAGTCTCCTGTGTGCAGATTGATGGCCTCAGAGATCCGATGGGCGGTCACGGAGTCGGAATGGGCTCCACGCAGTGGATGGACTTTAGAGTTGAGAAGTGGTGGCTGTGTAAGTGCTCAAGCCCTTGAGCCACCACTGGCTCTTCAGGAAATGACGTGGCTGGGCTGTTTCCATCACAACCTCTGAGCCCCAGGGCTGTTCTCCTCTGTCCTGTGTCCCAGAATTGACCCCTACCTAGGATCCCTAAATGCCCGACAGGGAATGGATGGCTCCCCTCTGCACTTGTTCTGAACGAATGCTCAGAGCCCTGACGGCTGGGGGAAGGGGGGCACGTCTAATGTATGAGAACCATGGGAACCAGTCGCTGCATCGTGGGCAGAACCACAGTGAGCCTTGTTTGGGAAAGAGGTGGGGAAACTGCTTAGGTTCTTAAGGAGGTGGGGAAGGGGGCCCCCTTCCCATCCCTGACCAGCTCCTGGACCCCCCAGATCTGATAGCCTTCATCGAAGGAAGCAGACACTCACCCCGCTACACTCTCTGGTTCTGCATCGGGCAGCCGTGGCCACAGGATGAGCCGTGGACCAAGAGGCTGCTGATGGTCAAGGTACCTGCACCCTGGGGCCAAGCGGGGAGGGAGGCTGGCAAGAGAGACAGAGCCCCCCCTTGGCACTACATCTCGCAGAAGCCCCTCAGCAAACCTCACATTCCTAGAGTCCTGTCACCCACCAACACCTCGTCCCAAGGTTTGTCTGGGCTTTGAGCTCTCAAAACCGGGTAACAAAACCAGCTCACAGGAGCCCACCCAACCACAAGTTCTTTGCCCTGGGGATTTCTGGAAATTTCTAATCTAGAAACCATCTTTGGCATCTCCCTCCTGGTCAAGTTGGGAAAACGACAACTCAGAACCTCCGAGTTGAATTAGGCACCATGGGCTACACGGAGCCAGCTGGGAACTGTAGTCTGTTCAGATGCTGGAGGTGAAGGGGCTGAGGCCCGCGGTTTTCCTTAACTTGGGGTTTCTCCCCCCGCCCACCCCTGCAGGTGGTTCCCACGTGCCTCAGGGCCCTGCTGGACATGGCCCGGGTGGGGGGCGCCTCCTCACTGGAGACGGTGGACCTGCACATCTCCAACAGCGTCCCCCTCACCCTCACCTCGGACCAGTACAAGGCCTACCTGCAGGACCTGGTGGAGGACATGGATTACCTGGTCGAGGGGTCTCTGAACTACTGAGCCTCGCGCGTGGAGGCCCTTGTCCCACCCTGACCAATAAACTGGTTGTTGGTACAGTTGCTGCCTGTGGTCTGATGGGTGATGTCCCCAGGCCAACTCTGACCACCCCGGGCATGTCACTGCACGGGGTGACTGGGTGGACCCTGAGGCTGGAAATTCAAGGTAGCCGGAATGAAGTAAGGTCCGTTTCCAGATCTTTTTAGGGCGCGGCACCCTTTCTGGGATGGAGAGAATGTTCAGAGAGCAGAGTTCTCTCTGCACGGGGAGCCCAGGGACACCCCCATGCCAGCCTTTCACTTACGGGGGCCTAAGCACATCCTGCCTGACTAATTAGGCCGCCTGGTCGCACTGTGCCTCACTTCCTGAGTTAATTCTGAGCAGCAGCCGGCACCTGGCTCCGCGAAGCCCCAGCACCCCCTCCATCTGTGCTGCCGTAGCCACTGTCACACGTGCCCTCAGGATGACCTGGGGAGGAGCCCTGTGGGCACTGGAGGCCAAGTGCTTGGCTAAGCCAAAGGTCAGCAGTTCCAAGCTACCAGCCGCCCCTGGGGGGAAGTGAGGCAGTCCGCTTCTGTAAAGATTACAGCTTTGGAAACCCCGCGGTTTGGGCCCTCCTGCGGTCCTGTGGGGTCGCGTGAGTCAGAACTCCGTGCCCATCTCAGAGACGGGGAAACGGACACTGAGCAGGACCTGTAGCTCCACAGAACCCAGACTCCTGACTGTGGACCTCAAGGACTGGGAGTGCCCCAAACCCACATGCGCATTAAGAAAAAGGGGCAACGGGTGGCTTAGGGTAATAATTCATGAAATCTTTAATGAAATCCAGGGCAGGGGGCATGAACGGAAGGTGGGCAACAGGGACAGGCCTGAGGCAGGACGATGGGCAGGGTGGGGGGCTCTCCTCGTCCCTCGGCGGCCCTCCCCCGTCATCCCACTGACAGGAGGGGGGAGGTGGGGAGGTGAAGCCATAAATATGTCCAGGTTTTTGAGGTGAGGTGTCGGATGCTGGGGCTTCAGAGGGGGGGCAGGGGAAGGCCTGGGCCGCCCTTGTCAGGGGGTCCCGGCTCCTTGGGTGGCCGCGGGGGGCCAGGAGGGTCTCCAGGCTTGCGGCCATGCTTGCGGAAGTAGCGGTAGCGCTGGACGTAGGCCCGCACCAGGTTGCTCACCTTCACCGGGTTGATCTCCCCACTTTTGCTGTGGCAGATCTGGGTGGCAAGGGGGCAGCTGGGGTCACCACCACCCTGTGAGGCCCTCCACCCAGAGCTCCACTTGGGACTGGGATGGAAGTAGGTTCCCAAAGTCTCAGCCAACGTCCCCACGATGGAAGCCCTGACACCAGTGAGCCACCCCCACTGCACCCTGAACCCACCTTGTGGACAGCCTTCCGCAGGATGTCCTTGTACTCCTCCTTGGTGATGTCCTTCTTCTGGTAGTACGGCTTGATGGCCAGCTTCACCTCCTCCACCGCCCGCTCCTGAGTGTGCAGCTTCTTCAGATACTGTTGGGGAGGAAGAGGAGGGAGAGAAGACACAGAGGGTCACTGGAGACCTGCAGAACCCCGACCTCCTTGGCAAGTGACAGGGCAGGAGGTGGAAGTCCTGATTAACGTCTGGCCTGTTGCCGTCTTGCTGCAGTCACCTGACCACAGGCCAGGTCTGCGCATGTCACTGGGCCTCCTCTGGGCCTGACCGTGACTGTGACCCTCAATCTCCTGACACAGGTTTTGCCTGGTACGGAGCACAGGTAGGGGACAGCTAGGACCTGCTGCCAGGCTGTCCCACAGGGAGTGACAACGTCCAGCTTTGGCCACCAAGTAGATGGCAGGACGAGGGGCAGGGACCGTGGCGAATTCCTCATGACCTGGGCTGAGCGAGACGGCACATGGAGGACCAGGGACTGGCTGGGCTCAGGGAACTGTACTATTTAGTGGCAGCCAAAGAGACAGAGTGTGGACAGGAAAAGGGACAAAGCAGAGCCTCTCGAGAAGGGTCCTTTGGGTACAACTTCCAGTTCCCTCCCTGCGTCAGAATCAAGCTCGGCGAAAGTAGGAAGTCAAGGGACACGTACTGTCAAGCCATCACGTACTGTCCCTGGGAGTGTGGCCGCCCTGAGAAGGTGTCTTGACCCTACTGCTCCAAGGCTGGGGCCAGATGGGAACAAATAAACTAAGGCCTGAGGCAGCCCCAGTCCTATGGCTAACAGCCCTTAGGGCCACGTCCAGACCTGACCAGCCCTTCACTGTCGGGCTGTCCTGTCAGGACACCTGCAGGCTCTGGGGAGGGAAATCCCACCAGAGACACAAGCTATGGAGGGTCATGCCCTCACTTGCCTCAGACATTGAGGACAGAGTTGGGGTCCCAGGGACTGACTCGAGGCCACAGAGATTCTTTAAGGAGGTGCATCTGCAGACACACATAAACAATGCGACAGAGAGGGTTCCCTTTTCCACCCCCTGCTCTCCTCCCCGGCTGTGGGGCTCCCGTTCCTCCCAGCTTCACAGCGGTTTCAGAGGCCCTGTCAGCTGGATACTGCAGGTTCCACTTGACCATGGCCAACATCTGTCTCTGTCCTCACCCTGTCACGACAGCCCCTGGCTGTCGACGCTGACCCTGTCCCAGCCCCGCTCACCTTGTCAGTGTCCCCTCGTCCCTCGGAGCTGCTGCTGCCCTCCCTCTTGTCACATGCAGCAGCCAGCCCCGTGGGGGTGGGTGGCGTGGAGCCGCAGCCCCCCAGGGGGAGGCTGCCGGGGAGCAGGTAGCTGGAAGGACCAGGGGGCAAGCCCAGAGAGGTGGGTACAGGAGCTGGGGTCACCCCCAGACCCGAAGGGGGCTTCCTGTGGCTGAGGAGCTATGGGAAGAGATGGGAGAGGTGAGTCAGCGGTGGCCGGGGATGTGGGCCCCACCCACCCTGACTGCCCAGCAGCCCCGGGGCCACAGGCTCCTCTAGTGATGGATACCTTGCCCCAAGGCTTGCTGGGAGCTGTGTGGCTCCTCTCACGGCCCGAGGCCGGGGACAAGAAGGGGCTGCAGGGACTCCTCCCCAGGGGAGCCCACCTGGTTGGTGGCCTGGATTAGCTCCTGAGCCTTGGCTCGACTGGCCAAGTTGGCTTCCTCCATCTTGAAGAGAAGTGCGGTCACTGCCGGTGCAGGGGGACGAAAGGAGCGGGATGCGAGCTGACACAGGAGGAAGTGGGGGCGCTCCCCTGCTGCCCGCCACCCATCACCCCTCCCAGATCTCTGGACAGGACGGGCAGCCCTGGCTCCAAGTGGCCCTCCACCCACCCAGCACGTTCTTGGCACTTGGTGGTGCGAGTCTGAGAGGTACGGGGGAGTCCCTAGGTGACCGACCAGGTGGTGGCCGGAGTGAGAGCCCGTCTCCTGAGCCCTGGACCCAGGCCCTGGACCCGGGCCTCTCTCCTCACCTCGGGGGTCCAGCCAGGAATACTACCTCCTAAGCGGTCTGCTCTGCCCTCCTGCCACCCCACATTCTGGGCCGGCCACAGCCTTACCCCACCGGCTACGCTCTCCTGCAGACACCTGGGATCCCTCGAGACGGGCCCTCCCTGTCCCCCCAGCTCCCGGCGACACTCACGGGCCAGGACCCCGCTCGTGGTGCAGTCTACACCGGCCGGCAGGTTCCAAGGCATGGGCGGGGGCAGCGTGGGCAGCTGGGGGACGCGGGTGGCCGGCCCATCCTCGGTCCCGGAGTCGCCAGCGGTGGAGCCCGCACTCGGGGCGGCGCTGGGGGCAGCCGCGGCTGTGCTGGTGGCCGTGGTGGTGGCAGGCTGCTGTTCTTCCTCCTCCTCCTCCTCTTCCTCCTCCTCCTCCTCCTCTTCCTCAGCCCCATCTGGAACCCCGGCCTCCTCGCTGGCCTCTTCAGGCAGGAAGGAGACCTCGGGCGTCTTGCAGCTGCTGTCCACGGTCTGGGAGTCCGGGGTGAGCGTGGGGGCCGGGGGGGCCGTCTTGGGGGGCGGGGTGCTGGGCACCTTGGCTGCGCGCTCCTCTCCGGACCAGGACGTCTCCTCGGCACCCTTGGTCCCCGCGGCCTGGCTGCAGCTGTCCGCCTTGGACTTCTTCAGCGTCACGGGGCCGCCACCCCCGGCGCTCCCTCCGCTCCGCACCTTCTTGCGGGTCTTGGATGGCTTGGTCTTCCCCTTGGTCCCCTTGGCTTTCTTGGCCCCGGCCTTGGTCTTGACCTTGGTCTTCTTGGCCTTGGTGCTGCCCGCCACGGCCTTGGCCACCTCGGTGGGGGCCCGCTCGTCGGGCTTGAGGAAGGGGGAGCGGCTCTCGCGGTCCCGGCTGAACTTGACGCCGATGGAGCCCAGGCTGGTGGACGCGGCCTCCTTGGCCGGGGTGGTGCTGCTCACGCCCTCGCGGATGAGCACGGCCACCTTGGACTGCAGCTTCACCTTCCGGGAGGAGCAGGACGACGACGACGACGACGAGCCCGAGCCGCTGCTGAGCGCCGGCTTGGACGGGGGCCCCGAGGACGGGACCAAGTCCTTGGAGGCGCGGGCCTTCTTGGAGGACCTGTCCCGGTCCCGCTCGCCCCCGTCCAGGGCCTTCCTGCGGGAGCCCTTGTCGCGGGAGGACGAGGCGGCGGCCCCCGCCCGGCGCCGGTCCTTGTCGCTGCTCTTGCCGCCGCGCTCGTCGCCGCTCAGTCCCTCCGAGTCGTACAGCACCTCGCGCTTGGGCGACGCCGCGGGCGCCGGCGAGGGGCCCCGGTGGTCGGACTTGTCGGGCCGGCCCACCGTGATGGTCCGCTTGATGGCGAAGAGGTCATGGTCCGTGAGGTCCTGGATGGACGGGGGCACGGCGCCCCGCCGGCGGCTGTCCCGCTCGCTGCCCGACAGCGCGGACGCC